CTTCCTTTCTTCCTTTCTTCCTTTCTTCCTTTCTTCCTTTCTTCCTTCCTTCCTTCCTTCCTTCCTTCCTTCCTTCCTTCCCCTGGATGTTTCTGGATCAGCAACTTCAAAACCCGAAGTTTGCCCCCCTGAGTTGTTTTTTGTTCAGCTAAAATCAGTGTTGGGATGATGCTCTTGGGCACATGGTCGAATTTTTGGGGTGTCCAGAGCAGGGCCAGCAGTTGGACTTGATGATCCTCGTGGGTCCCTCCCAACTCAGGATGTTCTGTGATGGTTTTTTCGGTACATCAATCTCACCTCATTAAACTCTGTAACTGTTGCCTAACGTTGGGTTTTTTTCTTATTTTATTTTTTTCCTTTCTCCCTTCTCTCCCTTCTCCCCCTGACTATCAATTTTGCTTTTTTTTTCCCTGCCTGCTTTCCAAATGTACCCAATCCATCACAGGAATGCAGCCCTGGAAGATGGATGGCCACGTGTCATTCATCAAAGCTCGCACGCCTGCCCAGGAGGGGGGACCCAAAATGAGCTGTGAGCAAGGGCAGAACAAGGGAGAGAACTGCAGTGCTTTGTTTCTCCCCCTCCTGAACTCGTGTTTTTTTGGGGTTTTTTTTGAGTAGCACTGATGTTTTTCAGCAGTTCATGGTTGTCTGTCAGCTCCTCTTGGGGGAAGAGGAGGATGGTGGTGGTGGGGACATTTTGAGCTGTCTCAATCCCTGCTCTCCCATTTCAGACTTGGATTATAAGAATTTCCTGGATGTGCCACAGGGTCATTCCTGGGCTGGTGGGAGGTGTCCCTGCCCCAAGGAGCTGAGCTTTGAGGTCCCTCCCAACCCAAACCCTTCAGGGTTTCTGAGAAGGGGTTAATAATGCTGTTCCTCCCGTTGTGCTGCAGTGTAATGTGGTGTGAAGGTTCCCTAATAGAATAAGAGCAGGTCTAATGCAATGAGGCATTTGCTAATAAACAGCTTTACTGGATATTAGGGAATTTGCGTGGCGTGTTTGTGATGAGTTTGTGAATCTTAAATGTGGTTTGGAGGCTTAATTTAGACATCCAGGGCTGTTGTCACCGTTCAGGGCCGTGACTTTGCTTTGTTGGCTGAAATCAGAGCTGGTTTCCAAGTCTTTGCTTTCTCAGCTTCTCTCATGGTTTGGTTTTTAGAATCCCAGACTGGTTTGGGTCGGAAGGGACCTTAAAGATCATGTCATTCCACCTCCTGCCCTGGGCAGGGAGACTTTCCACTATCCCAGGTTGCTCCAAGCTGCCCTTGGACACTTCCAGGGATGGGGCAGCCACAGCTTCTCTGGGCAACCTGTGCCAGGGCCTCACACCCTCCCAGGGAGGAATTTCTTCCCCTGTTGAAGAGGAGAGACATTGCTGCCCTGAAAGTGAAAAGGATCTTTTCCTTCTTCCTTTCTGGGCTTTTATTGGAGGGAAAGGAGATTTGATCTAATGTAGATATTGCTTTACCATAGGATAGTTAGAATTGTGTATATAATGTATTATAATATTTATTTGTGTAATAAGTGTAATATAATTCCCTTCCCCCCATACTGAGTCTTGTGTTATGTCTGGAAAAAACCCTCTCGCACTGAAGCAATTGTGGGAGGAGGCTTGGACTTGGAAATTGGATTTTTGGGGGTCTCAAACCACCACACCTGTATATAACCTAAATTTCCCTTCTGGCAGTGGGACCCCATCACTCCTTGACCTGACACTGTAATTTTCCCAATTCCTGGCTTTGAGAGGGATCAGTGGGAGAGACTTTGCTGGGAGAGCTGAGAGAGGGAGGGCAGTTTGTCCCTCCCTGGAGCAGCAGATGAGGTTTGTGACATGGCCAGGACTTCCCCTTCTCTTCAGCAGAGTTTGTGCTCCTTCCACCAGACCAAACTGGTGGAGCTGACCAAAGATGACCAAAAGCTCATCCTTGAAGTTCCCATCTCCTCTGAACTGCTGTGGGGTCAGAAATGCCAGTGGAGACCTGATTTAACCCTGCACTTCCCCCAGAGCAGCTTTTCCCATTCCCATTGTGCCTTGATTGTGTCATTGTTCCCAGGGGGCTCCAATCAGGTCCTTCCCTGATTGCCTTCCCCCTGTGCCAGGCTCACAAACCCGACTGAAATGGGAATATTTGCAGTTATTTCTGGATCCAAGATTGCTCTGGGATTTGGGAGCCTCTCTGCACCTTCCCTGTCCCTGTGGCACAACCAGAGAGTTGTTGGCAGGAAAATCACCTGCCTTCTCGGAGCTTTTTTCAGCTGCTGATGGTTTGCAGGACATTTTTAACGTGAGAACCTTAAATTGGTTGTGGGATCCCTTATTTGAATTTTCAGGCTTGCACTCAGATCCAGGGAAAACACATTGACAGCCCTTCTGTAAGTCGGGCCCCAGTGGATTTATACAGCAAATGGAACTGGTCAACTTAAAAAATCAGATTTTTATTTTCCTTTTCCCTTCCAGAGATGTTTAAAATTACGTTTGAGAGCCCAAGGGACAGATTGTGGGATGTTTTTCCTCACGTGTGAAGCTGCTGAGTGATGCTGGGGCGACTCAGGATCTTCCAACCCCCTGGGCTTCCCCTCCCAGTGTGTTGTGGGCAGGGAATTGTGTCGTCCTTGGCTGTTCAAACAAAATGTTTTGATGAGACTGAGTTTATTTGCCTAAGAAAATGTTTGTTTTAGCCCGTGGGTGAAGGAAAACAAGTCTCCATTGCGGGCAGAGCCTCAGCAGTGCAGGTTGTGTTCCTGGGAGGTGAATATTTACCCAGCTGTGAGGATCCTTCCTTCCCATCCCAGGGATTCCTGTGCAGACATTCCCAGGGATTCCTGTGCAGACATTCCCGTGTCTGCAGGGCTGGGGAAAACATCTGCAAATCATTCCTGCAAAAGCTTCCCATTCCAAGCAAAGCAATCCCAGCTGCTGGCACTGTGACCCCCCTTATCCACATCCCACATCCCTGTTCCAGTTTGTTGTTCCTTATTCCAGATCCTCATCCCTCTTCCCTGACAGGGTGCCCTCAATGTGCTGTGTGTGCAGTTAAAACCCACATATTTGGCCATATTTAAGTGACTGAGAGATTAAGTATTTTGTCTGAGCTCGGAACGATGAGATACTCGTGATAAGAGTGGAATTATCCTCTGGGGTGACCCGGTGGCAGCTACACCAGGAGTCCCCGTGTCCCGCCTGCTCCTCCTCGATAACCTTTTAATTACTGCTGGAAAAATCAGCCCGGGTGACTTGTGGTTAATTACCAATCAAGAGCACAAAGCTTTTGATCTTAAAAACAGCAGAAGGGGGAGGAGGAGAGGGAGAGAGACAAAGAGAAGGAGAGAATTCCCCCCACATTCCTCCCCCTGGCAGAGATGCAAATTCGGGGTGAAAGAACAGGTGCTGGGTTTGCTGGGGCTCAAGACTGTTCAGGAAATTCCTGGAAAACCAGCTGGGAACACACAGGACTGGTGTCAGGATTCTGTGTGGAGTCACCTCTGGGCCTGTGACATGTCCCTCTGTCTCCGAGGTGAGCACAGTTCCTTTTGCTGAGGATAAAGGTAAATAAAGCCCAGGGCTCCTTAAATCC